TGCGCTATACATTATTACCCCGGGTCACTGGATCAAGCACATGGAACAACACTCATGCCCCATAATGTTGCAGCTGTATTTAGCGCATGGTTGTGTTTGAACCTACCAGGTACCCACTTGTAGGCCTACTCATGGGTTTAAAGAGACAAATGTAGATAAAGTGCCTTGCCTAAGGACACAAGCGACTTGCACAGCGAGAGTTTCGAACCCCCCGACCTCAAGGTTGGGAGTCCAAGCCACAACCGATGCGCCAACCACTTCTAAATTAATTATAACGATACCGGTATTAGTTCTTTTGATAAGAATAATTATACAGGATTTTACCTCGCTGCATTGCAACGTCAGTTCGGGTTCTTTTGTGACGCAAATTTAAAGGGCAAAGAAAGAATAGCTGTAAATTGTCATGTGAAAATATACCGTAACAGTCACTAACCTAATATTTAGTTTGTAACCATGATGCTCATTCCCCTACGTTTAATAATGAATACGGGACTACCAAGCTTTAGCTTTACCTATTATTTGGATCTCACGATTTGTCACAATGAACTCATAACACAATAATAAAACATTATACAATTCTGTAATTTTGTAACAGTGATTGTAACGTCATTCATTGCTAAACATTATACGTAAACTATTTTGTCTCAGATTGATTTGTAAGAATTTAGTATACTTGAGCTTTTTTTTAAAATTTCATTTCATTTCAACTACATCCAACGGCGGTGTCGCCCGTTACATGATGTCTGTCACATACAGTATATAAATGTATAGTAAAATACAAAAACATACAATAAATAACAAAGGTAACCACAAAAAGCAACAAAACTCTATTGACAAAATTTATTGACGAAATCAATAATAATACAATCATTATAATATTTACTTATCGCCGCAGCACTGCAAAGACGTATTTCCTTGCGTCATCTCCGTTTCACGTGACTACCGAACCTCATGAAATTTCAGCGCTATACTTCTTGTGGTATATTGCACAATGTAATGGATTCAACCGGATTAATGGAGTCGAGAATGCTGCCCAGGTAAGCAATCCTCAAAGCGATCCTGATTAAAACATGTATCTCTAATCAATATTTTCCGCAGGTCAATCTGACTTAACAACTTACTAATTTACCAACTAGAACAAACCTTGGGATACGTGATTGTCTTAGCTCGCAAACACGACTTGTCCCATAAATACACGTACGTACGTTATGCTACTTGGGCATTTAGCAACAATATCCAAAGTACGGGGCTTCAATGAATGGTCCAATCATTTTGCCACATACTCTGCTGTCAGATTATTTAATGACAATCACCTAGATTTAATGTACTGTATTGTATTGTAAGAATATTTTATTCTTCTTATACTAACCTTGTGCAATTGTATGTCGATTTGAATTACCGAAAAGGACAGTTACCTATGAACTGTTGCTTTTTAAATGATATTATAACTTAAGTTTGGCAATGTATGACTATCATAAGTGTGATTCGTGTCAATTGAAAGATAGAAATCGATATTATTGATCAAGGTTTCAAGAGCCAGTTGCTGGTTGTATAATATCAATAAAAAGAAAATCTAAACAATGTGTAAAAAACCTCTCAGCACATGAATGTTGTGGTTACTGTGATTGTGATTATTTGAGTGTCTAACAGGAATTAGGCCTATTGTCAATCCAAACACTCGAAAGGAAACTATCTGAAGTAAAAGAAAACATTGAATTATTCAGTTTAAGGTTTGTCTGTCGACGAATTCTCGTTATAATTATCATTAGAAGCAGATAAGGAAGGAAGGAAGCAAATATTACATTTTTAATAAAATGTTTATGTTCATTTTAAGTGGCAAATGGTTTAAGATTTGTTTTTCTTTCAAAGCTGATTACAAAATTCGTTATTTTTTTCCCAGTCTAATAAGTTTATTGGAGGATCTCAATTGATAAGCGAGCGCCTTTGTGATCGGTTAGACCAAAACCATGTGATTTTGAGCAGCCCAGTTACACAAATACAACAAACAGATGAAGGTGTTCAAGTCTCTACACTTGACGGCAAATCATATTCGGTATGTCCGCATTTTAATTTATTCTAATACATATTAATATTGCAGCAGTCGTAGGAAAATGAATACATAAATTATTCATGTATCTGTTTCCTATTTAACAGCGACCTTGTTTAGACTTATAGGCGCGCAATGATAATTTTAAAGTTCCTGGTCTATGTCTAGTTACTTTCTATATTATATACCCTTCTTTGATATAAGATAAGAAACAACTTTACTAAGTTCTCTACAGCCCAATGGCGGATTCAAGGTGGGGGTGAGCCTGGTCGCTTTGCTCCCAACTAAAATTTTCAAAGTTATAAAAAAAAAAGGAGAGAAAAAATGGAATGTTAATCAAATTTGGATCTGAAAGTGCCATTTTCGGCCATCAAGACAAATGGAGCAGACTCTCTCGTACATTTATTCTCGTTCGAGAAATACACGCCACTTCTGCAATTTTTATACTTTTTCTTGGGGAAATTCTTTTTCTCCCGACGAATTCTACTGTTTATTTACCACCGTTTGAAATGGTAGCACATCAAATTATGAAAATAATTTTTTGCAGGGTTCGGCCGTCATACTCGCGATGCCACCATCAATGACGCAGAGGATCACATTCAGCCCACCGCTTCCATCATTACGTAATCAACTAATAGCTAGGTCACCAATGGGATCGGTCATAAAGTGCATAACATACTATGAAAAAGATTTCTGGTTCGATAAAGGTAATTAGTTAAAATACAAATGATACGTTGATAAGACATTTAAAGATAAACGTAATGCCTCCTATCTAATAAAAAAACCTAATGATAGACCAATCCGCTAAGCCCCGCCCCTTGGATATTGTTGCTAAGGTCGCACAAAACGACAGTGTTAAAACATACGCAAAATTAAACACGTGCGTTTGTGGGACACGCGCATATTCCTGAAACTGTTCTGATTGGTCAGTTGTTAAGTTTGATTGATACTCGGGAAAAGTCCATTAAAATGTGTATAGCTTATTTAAAAGGATTAAGTAAGTTATTATTCCAATTAAAGGCATATGGAACTGAATTTTTGTTGCTGTTCTTTAGGTCATGACAGGCAATAAGTACTTTAAAAAACGAACTGACGGCAGACTCAGGTCGATACGGAACTCTCCACGCAACTGAACGGAACAGAACGGAACTGAGAGCCGCGTTGTCGACATGAGTCAATTTGAGTTGAGTTCCATTCAGTTGTCTATGTTCTCCATTTTGCGGATCTGAAAAAGCGCTCAAGTCGACATGAGTTTAGTTCCATACAGTTCCGTTCAGTTGTGCAGAGCGCTCATGTCGGCCAGTTGAGTTTAGCTCCTTCCAGTTCCGTATCGACCCGAGTCTGCCGTTTAGTTATTGTTTATCGTGAAATTGCTATATACTGGATGTATTTATTATTTGTAGTGGGCCTACCACTTTTAATGTATAGTATAAGTCTAAATTAAATATTTCTTTTTTTTAACATCTAAAAGCATGTTTAAAAAGATAGGTATAACAACGAAAAACATAAAATGAAATCTGACATACACAAAAAATTGTTTATTTTGCATTTACATGACGATTAGAGAGTGAAAATGTTTTGGTAGTGAGAATCAATCGAATACTTTGACATTAACTATAAACCATGAAATCTGGCATATTGGCAGATAATCATCTTAATTATGTGACAAAACAAAAGTCGTCATGATTATTCAAATAATGTAGTATATGTATATGCATATACTTCTAATCTGTTTGCGGGTCCAGTTCTATATGTATTTCCGAATGAATTTTGTATTGATTTTTTTTAATGATTTAGGTCTGAGCGGCAATATATGGAGTTTTGACTCTAGTTCACCGGTCTTATGGAGTATTGATGACACAAAACCAGACAACACCCACCCAGCATTAATGAAGTAATGTCAATATAATCTATATTAATACTTGCGTTACACCACGTAGATAGTTCTGAAAAGACCTGTTGTTGGTTGAGAATATCTCAATAATAATCGTTATGATGACATAACACGTTTATATTTAACTTTATACTCTCATTGTATTCACGTCATATGTTGGGTGAGCTCGCATTAATCCGTACAGGATTGGCTTGTTGAAAATATAAACACTCTTAGTCCTGTCATGGGGTTGGATGTAGTGAAGCCCGTGCCTCCATATCTACACACGATTGTAAGTTACTTTGACGTGGAATATGGAAACAGCATTCAGTTGATAATTTTATATGTAATTGATAACATGCTGAAAATTACCATTTGCATTTTGTGACCAGTGTTAGGATCACACTGTCCAACAATCCGTTTATCGGTTTACTTATTTTATTTTAATCGCGATTATGAGAATAACGATCCTGAATCGTTTTTACAATGGTATATTTAAGTCAGTCTTGACGACATCTTTACCCTCAACGTAATTTGTCCATCTCCGAGCAAGAAATATTTTTCGTTAGCGCCCGCTATACTGAAATGCTACATGATAGTGATATATAAGGAGTTTTAAATACATAACCATGCTATGTAAAGTATGCCTATGCTACAAATCCTAAGCAGACGTTGTACATCTAGTATTTCTAGCATAGGCATATGGTAGGCATGGACGAACGCGACGATTGGCGTGTTTTTCACATTCTGATTGAGTAATGCACAGTACAGTAGCGGTGTTAAGGAGTTGGGGGGGGGGGGCACGGAGGAATTTTTCCCCGGACATTAGTAGACTATCTATTTATAAAATAAATTAAAGAAAGCCTCTAAAACCCCATAAAATGTCATTTTGTGGGGTCCTCGCCATCTGGGCCATTTTAGAGATATATTGAGCGACGCCCGACCACGCCCACCCGGGCCACCCCAGTATATTGCCCTTCTAAAGTTTTACCTTGCCCCTCACTTGACCCCCAGATTTCAGGCGTCGCCACTGGTAATGCAAAATGGTTTTCGTAAAAAAAAAAAATGAACTGCAAACGACTGAATTTTATTTAATCTTTGGACACAAGAACCCATGGCATTGGAGTAGGCATGCCTATTATTTTATATAAGAATTTTGGGCTATAGCATTACTACAGCATAGTCCTAACGCAAGATGGGATATATCAAGGTAATTGCCTTGTAAAGCAATTATTGTAATATTATTTTTGACACTGATTATCATTTAAAAATTATTACCTTTACCCGAAAATTTCCTTCTTCTGGTCCTTCCTCATTTTCCAACACCGCCCTCTACCGATATAGGCCTACAATAATTGCTCAGGTCTACATCAATTATCTCAACAGCTTCCTAGAGGGTAATAAAGCCAGAAGTGTATGTTACGATTCCAAAGAGAATAGGTAAGGTTTGAGCCTAATTAACTTTTAATTCCATTCAATATTATATCCATTCTGAAGTTCGTCCTAAAAAGTTGTATATGTGATAATTCTATACTGCATGCTCTAGAAGCATGCTGCAGATTATATCGCTTCGGTATTTAAGAATATAATACATTAAATTATATCTTTTGATTACGTTATTAATATGAAGGGCTTAATAGTTGTAGTAGTACTAACTGATAGTTATGAGTCAGTTTATGTGAGAATAAAGTAACTTATAACTTCACTGCAAACAGAAAAACAGAAACATGTCACAGATGATGAACTACACATACAAGTAATTAGAATCAATGGAAATTTTGTTTTAGATTTTTGTGTTTGCAAAAATAATGATGTATTTTCTTCATTTTTTAGACGCGACATGATATGCAAATTTTATGCAAAGGCATTTCAATCTCAAGAGGCCTTAAAGGTAAAGATTTATAATTGAATTAATGTATAATATTCTATCTCTTGTCAATGACTTGCTTTGATTTGATTTATTTTTGCATTTAGTTTCACACATGACACAGCATTTTTTTGTTTGTTAATTTTTGCTTAAGTTGGTAATAGATTTGTGAGTGTCACCAATACAAAGGTGTATTTTCACCATATAAGTAAAATAAAGTACAGAATGCGAATGGGTCAACACCTATCTGCCATGACGTCAGACAACAGCGCCCTCATAATTTGAATATCTCTTTTCAGCCAATCAATTACATGGAGATGGATTGGATGGCTGAGCCGTACTCAGGTGGTTGCTTTACTACAGTATATTCTACAGGAGTTTTGACCAAATTTGGACGGTAAGCAAATTGATGCAACTGAGAAGGGCGTAGAATCTGAATTTCTTTTGACAGGGAAAATTACAATGTTGTCAAATAGAGGGCTGGTGATTGTTCCGTTATTTCGTAAAACCTCGCATAGAAGGACCTTTGTGATGTTCTTCGTTTCGAAATGGGCTTCTTTTCAAGATGGGCTTCTTTGCGAGATTAATTACAAAAGAAGGGAGTGAATATATACCGCAGCGATTAGAAAAACGCAGTTTATAGAAACTATGCTTCACCTGTCGGTTACTGATTTTGCAAAACAAAGCCATTTAAGTTTTTTTTCATAAAAGTTTATTAGTTGTATTAGGCTTATACCAAATCTCTAAATGTTTTTACATTCAAAGTAAATACTTATAAAAATATGTTTTTTGAATATTATTATTACAGTATAACAATGGCAATACAATCTCTAGTTATAACAATCCCATCACTATCCAATTATTGCTTGCTTGCTTGCTTAGAGAGATAGCAAGACCGTTCGGGCGTGTGTACTTTGCTGGAACCGAAACAGCAACACAGTGGTCAGGCTACATGGATGGGGCTGTGGAAGCTGGTGAGAGAGCAGCCAGAGAGGTAAATTTTCCTGTACTGTATTACATACTTTTCTGTACTATATTGTACCACACTGTTAACTGCACTACTAAAATTGAAATACAGGCTTCCCTCCAATTAAAGACCACTTGTTTGTGGCCCTTTTTAATATTTAATTATTAGCTGTTCTCTCCAATTAAGGACTCCCTCTATTTACAGATCAAAGACCATGGTTTTGGCGGACCCAACTGGACATTTTCAGTCGGTGTTTAGTTAAAGGGATCCCACCAAGACTAAATCTGATAAATACTACTAAATTGCCATTGTTCATTTAAGAACACCTTTACGACAAAATTAGAACCTTCTGACTGTCTTAGCACATGATTGTGCCCACGCCCAACGTCGTCCTCATTCCTTTGTCGTCGGTCAAAGAGCGAAGATATTTTTTATGCCATTTGATTGGTTTTACTGTTGCCAACATCATTTCTGATTTGTGTAATTTAAAATAGAATAACATGTTAAAGTACATTAATTACTGAACTAACACAGTTACTTCATTACATAAAAAACGTGAATTTTCATTATTTATTAAAAAAAAAAAGAAGAAAAAAAAGAAAAAACTCATGCCAATGATAGATGCCCGGTACCTTATTGCCTTATTTTTCTCATATTAGTATCAAAACTTTATTGTAAAGTATTTATTTTACAACATTCTGTAATTACATATAAGTATTTTACAAATGTCTCATATTGAAATTTCTCTCAAATTATATCGAATACTAAATTTTAACAATGTAATGATCTTGCAGCATTCTCATATGAAGAATCTATGGCTTCGTGTAAACGTTTTTCTGAAATTACTGAAATAGAAATAAACATAATAATAATAATTATTATTATTATGTATCGCATTTCATTTACTTTGTGTATTTTAAGGTTTTACATCGATTAGGCAAAGTGTCAGGAAGTGAAGTTCATCAAGAAGAACCCCAATTTCCTGTGAGTAGACGTAATTTTAGTTCAATTAAATTGAACACAACACACTTTACATTAGTGAATTTTGAGTAAGTTAAGGCTTTTATGTTATTTACATTCCAGTTATAAATAAAGTTTGAAGCAAACCATTAAATCTATACAATTTATGGAATTTAATTTTCTTCAACAGGGCATGCTAACTGTTCCATTAGATCCGACTTTCTTCCAACGTATAGCGCCATCTGTCGGCGGGTTTCTTGCATTTGTTGGTGTCAGTAGTGTCTTGACGTTAGCAGGAATTATAGGATGTGTTCACGTGATGAAGAAAAAATAAATACAAATTAAATAAACCATCTATTAATATAATTATGTATACATTTTTGTCAATTATACTTAATGCTAATTATGTGAAATAATTTGCCCTAAATCTAGGTCATTCAAACAAATTAGCTAAAATAGAAAAGATTCAATTATTTTATTTAAAAAGAAATGACAGGATGGAAACTGGCCTATTTATTTATTCATTTGTTTATGTATAAAGCTCCTTTCTATGCCTTAGCGTTGCTGCTGCAATCAACACTGGAGCAGACAACCCCACCAGGTACCCATTTGTTACTACTGGATGGAGAGAAGCAAAGTTCACAGAGAATGGTTGAAACCCCGACCTCGAGGTTGGAAACCAAACCGTTCCTGCTACGCAATAACCACCTCCCGCATTAGATAGGGCACATTCTTACATTTTTCCACTTACTTGGAGATTCACCTGTTTTAAGAACAAATTAATTAGATATATAGGCCTATTGGTGCTACGATTGAGTCGATTGCCAATTTTATTATTTTAGTTGGACATTTTTTATATACATACTTGTAATTAACAATTGTAATAAAATTATTCTAGTCATTTTATATTAGACTTAACAAGCATTAAAATGTTATTAGTTTCAACCACAAGAATTGCTTTGGCTAAATTAGGACCAGGACTATAACAATAATGTTACCCTAGCGCTCACAGGCAGGGGGATTAGATTCGTACCACCGCCGTAGCCACACGATGCAGTGAGTACCCGGCTTTAATGTTTATTGTGAGCCAATGACTTTCTTTATTTCGCACAGTTGATGTCAGTTGAGTTGAGAATCGAGTCGCAAGGGCGACATAAGCCCAGTTTTACGTTCTATCATTAGCTAGCAGTATTATGCCGGGCACTCACTGCTGCGCCCGAAGGTTGTCGGCAGACGCGATGCTAATAAGAACACAACGCCACGACGAGCGCGTAACGGATCGTTTTTAATGACGATCCGCTCATAATGCCACCGACAATCATCAGAGGGCGTCGAGTAGTCTATAGCTCACAGGGAGCGGAGTTAAAATCGTCGTACGACCGTCGTACACGACGCCGTGAGAGCCCGGCTTTAATGTTTATTGTGAGCCAATGACTTTCTTTATTTCGCACACTTTATCTTTAATGATACAGTATTAGTTTATCAACAATTAAAAAAAAAGAAACTTATCATAGAAAGTTAGGACATAGGCCTACGTTTCTAGTAATTTCAGCTGTTAGTTTTATAACAACTGCATAATTTAAACTGTAGGTCAAAGCTTTCATATAAATGTGCAGTCTTTTAAAAAAAAACTGAATTATATAGGCTAGTTTGTATACATGCCCTCGTTTTCTCATCTACCAGAAACAAGCAATAAATCAATTGCACCAAATGTAAAGAACGGAAAATATCATTACCGTAAGTTTTAACATGCGCAAAAACCGTTGACATACAATTCATGAGACATAGCAATCACGAAACAATGTGTTATTTACTCGACATTATTAGAAAATCTTTTTTAAAATAATGAAATAGAACGATTTGGCGTCTACATGCTGAGGCTTTCGTCCAGCAGTGGACCGACAAAAGCTGATGACGATGGTGACATTATTACGGACAAAAAAACCAACCATATATTACATATAATGACTGAGATTTGAAAATGGGGTCTGAGGTCAATCAGGGCAATTTCGATTTTTTTTTACAAAATAATTTACTATTATTTATTCAGCTTTAGGCACTAGAAGTGGCAATCCCATTACTTACAAGTTTATAAAGAAGCCCTGTTCAAATTGTCAAATTTTATTTGACAAAAACATGGCATTCCTATATAATGGTCATGATGACATCACATCATGACCATATATAGGCACATCATGGTTATATATGGGCACACAATATTGTTTTTCAATAAACATTTGATAGTGGACAGAGCTGTAGACTAATCAGGGTGTCTATAAAACGAAACCGAAGACCCAAAATACTTTTCCCTTTTATTTTATTGATAATCAAAATCAAAATTACGAGATTATTTGGACGTCTGTTGTGAAATTATCTTCATATTTTATACACTCTATATGGGTGTTTACAAGACAAAGGCCAAAGACTAAAAAGACCTCCATGGCCAATTGTGTTCTCTGTTATCTTTTTAAAAATATTTCGAAATCTTCAAAAAGCCATTGCCAAGTACCTCTTTCATCATTTATATGGGAATAATATGATGAATATAGAGAAATACCCGAGGTCTTCGTTTTATAGACACCCGTATACAGACGGCTAGAATAAGGCGAGTGGAAGCAGGAGACAACACCCCTCTGGCCAAAGTCGAAATTTACGCTCCTTAACGGGTATATGGGCCTGTTTCTGCTGAGCAAAAAAACACGTGTTTTTAAACGGTTATTAAAAAACATGTGTTTCCCCCCCCTCCCCAGTAGAAACGGGCCACAAAACAAAAACACAGTTAGAAATGCGTCTTTTTACACGCATTCGTTATAGGGTTCGCGTTCAGAAAACGCGTGTTTTGTGGTACACTTTTCAGCTGCAACGCAATACCGTGTTAGTCATGACCCATCGGTGACCCAAATTGACCTCTTCGTTGGTTTTATCGCTCGTCCGCGGGAAATTCGGGCGAAGAAAAAAATTGAAATAATAGGATGACATGCTTGAAGATCATACCATACTTTTTTTCATACTTTCGTGGTGTGTTGTTTACTTCTTTCGCAGCATGCGCTGTAGCTCACAAGGTTAAATGTCAGCTTCAACTTCCGTTAGTGACGGTAATTTCGGCTCCGCCCACCTGCCAATGCTCCCATTACCGTGTTTTTATTAGTTACACTTTTCTCTAGAAACGCGTTCAGAAGGAATTTAACCGTTTATAAAAACATGTGTTTTTTTCGTTATTCAGCAGAAACACGGCCTATGACCCATTAAACGTTAAATAACAATTTAAAACTAGCCATTGTGTTTAGTTCAAAACTTACAAGCATTTGTCAACGATTTCAAAAACTTTACCATATATAGATTAATTTACAAACAAGGAGTTTGTCGCCACCACTGCAAGTTTTGACCAATCTTTCAGTAAACCTAGACGAGGAGTCTATTCATGAAATACCGGAGTAGGCATCTGGCTCTTTTGCAGATATAGAGCTCGGTGCATCCAGAAATGTTCTCTTTCTTTGAAACTAAAAAAACATAAATTTGGTTATAAAAAAATTTAGGGTTATTGACATGAGTAAACACAATTTATTAATAGACGGATTGATAAGAAAATGTGGGATGTACTTTTTCCCGAGTTCTGAGTATAATGGACATTCAAAAAAAAAAAAATTGAAGTCGCCTTCAATTACATTTTTGTTGCAGATTTTGCATGTGCGTTCCTGTTGCGGGATACTATTCCACCGCCCGGTTTCAATTTCTCATGCCAGTACACCAAGTCAAATTTTTTTTTAAATATTATTTTATATTTAAAGTCGTGTTTGAATAAACGATAATATGTCAACTTAGAATGCGTTCACTTTCTTTAACATGTCAATATCGTAACTGTTTAACTTAAAATCATTTAAGAAACTGAATTTGTCGTCAACAAATTGTAGAAACCAAACATTGCCACAACCGTAAAAACAAAGTAAATCCTTTCATGGTCCAACGCATGTAATTTCTTAAGATTTTTCTGAACTGAAACGCATAACATTTGAATAAGTGTGCAGCCGAAACCGAAGGACGTTAACTAAGCAGTTGATGTGTACGGGGAGTCTACCGTGTTTGGCAGTTATCCAATTTTGATGGCATTTCTACCAAAGACCTAAATATGTATCTGCAGAATTTGGTGTGAATTTTACTAAGAATATCGGCAATACGGTATTTCATAAGTTCACAGGTACAAGTGAGATGTTAGGGTTGAAAAACGATTTTAATGAAAATGAAGATTTGCTTTTTTTTAATTGAACTGCATCAATTGAACCGAATACCGAGAAATAACGCTCTCCATAGACTGTAGACGACTATAGAGAAATTCCATTGTTAAATTTCGTTCATGGTCTCAGAGCAAATACAATGAACTATGCCTTTGAAAACAATATAAGCTTACCTTTCATGTGATAGGGCTATTCAAGCTTTTCTATACCGTCGGACAAGTAATGTTTTCCCTAGGCCACATTCAGAAGCCATTATCTCCATTGCACCAGGAGGCTCCATTTACTAAATATGGACGAAAGCAGTAAGTTAATTCGTGCTTGGGGATCAAACAGTTCTGCAGTAGCAATATAAGCAAGTCAGATGAAACTATTCGAATATTTATAGGTATAAGTATGGCATTTAATTAGATCGTAATCTCTAAAGATATAATATTATTACCTAACCGTTGAATATATTTAATTACTAATATAAAGTGCGCAACTGTATGTTATTGTTAATATCTACCGTACACATTAAGCCATAACAAACAACATTTTTAAATTTAGCGGCAAAACATGGGTGCGTGCTCCCGTGCACTCTCCCCTCACTAGATCCGCCCCTGTTTATTGATCAGTGTTTTATTTTCTTTTTAGAAAGGATAGTAAAATTATTGACACTTTGATTTTTGTTTAGGCATGCTATGAAATTGTTAGCCTACTTTAACAGTGTAACGAACGTTACCTATCTTTCTCCAATCGATTTTTATTTAATTAGGCGGTTGTTTTGAAATACAGTATATATTTATATATTTGCAGTTAAATGTGGTGATTAACTATTTACTACGGTTGTTAACATTTGTTAACACTGTGGTAATGTGATAAAATATGGGGGCTTGCCGTGTCAAAACTAGCATCATTGACCGAATAATAAAGTTGACTTTTTAATAGGTTAGGGTCGGGTTAGGGTTAGTCATATCAGTTATACAAATCCCTGGTCATATTCTCCACATTAAGCTTAGGTAGGTAGGTTATTTACTGCAATCGACTTAGGTTATAAGTAAGTATTACTGCTCCTCTCTGTATATACAATACTACCACATTCCTATGATAATTTGTTGTCGTCTTGGCGTATGACTGTGGCCTGATATACAACTCCTTTGGTTAGGCACTTGTTGGATAGAGGGCACAGGTCGCGACAATTGCATTCTTTGACGTCATTATCTGTGCGGATTGTGGTATTATTAAGTTCTGATTTGTTGTGTGCAGAGATTATTGAACCCATATTCGGCATACAACTGTAACTTATCTTGATAGTGTTTCGGTTAAATATTTTCCTTAGTGCATGGTTGGGTAGGAAGCATTCATCCACAATTTCTAAAAATTCATGTCCAATTCTTGTCTTTAAGTTATTGCTGTATGGAGGGTTGAACCAGGTGATGTTCCTTTTTTGTTTCCTTGTGTTGTCTCTTTGTGTGCTTTTAGCTGTGGGTTCATACGTTAATTTGTGCTCGTATCCACTTTCTTTTAGGGCTTCTTGGCAAGGTTCCTTGGTGTCATTGAATACAGTTTCGTTAGAGGAAATGCTAGAGAGTCTTCTATTTATGGCTTTCGGGATGTTCTTTATAATGGAGGGTGGGTGGTTACTTTTTGAGTGTATGTACAGGGGCTTGTTTTTTTCCTTCAAGTAGGGTCTGTGGGTTCCGTCGCTTAGGTTCAGTGTAACGTCAAGATAGTTAATCACTTTCTTGTTCGCGTCTATTGTTATTTTCAAATCGTACTCTCTAAACACATTACATATGTACTTTTTTATTCTTTCGATTTGCTGGGGTGTATCGTCAAATGCTGCCAGTCCGTCGTCTTTGTAGAGGGCAATCTTATTTCCATATTTTGGTTCTAATTTTGCCAGTATGAAAAGGCCGATTAGCTCACATGTCTCTGCTCCGTCGTAACTACCCATCGTCACGTCGAAATTTGTCTCGGGGTTTTTTTTTCCAGGCTGTTTGGTTGCTGAATAGTAGAGTGTTTTTGGATTGTACAATTATGTTTCTTTCCTCTTCTGTAATTTCTGCGTAGGATTCGGCGAAGTCGAGGGCTTTAGAAAGTAGGTTATGTGAAGTCGATGGATAGAATTCGGTGACGTCGAAGCATATAAATGAGTGGTTCTGCTTATCTAGGTTCCTGCTATTTTAGTTTCTTCAGTTGTGATGGTACTTGCAGCATTAGCTTCTGCTATGATTGAGGAAGTACCTCATGAAACAGCCTGTAGTGCAATAAAATGTTGAATTTGTAACCAAGC